AATGGGTTATACATGAGTTATATAATGGGTTATACATGAGTTAATGTTTATAATAATGGGTTATAACATGAGTTATAATGGGTTATATATGAGTTATAATGGTTATACATGAGTTATAATGGTTATAATGTTATAATGATAATGTTATAATGGGTTATACATGTGTTATAATGGGTTATACATGATGTTATAATGATTATAATGGGTTATATATGAACAAATCCATCCACCTCACAGTGACGTTAAACTTACGGTAAATACTGTAAACATACCAAGGTGTTGCCTGTAAACACCAACATTAATTGATGCTGGAAGCTGCATTAAAGTGTAATGTGGAACATTTCATTGGCTGTGACGTCTGTTAACCAGGACAGTTTGGTGTTTGGTGTAAACTGGGACATTTCAGCGTAAAGAGGAACTGTTGGTGGCATTTCATGTGAGAAATGCAGCTGAAGGTTCAGACTGACTGATGTTCGCTGTGGCTGTAGTCGTGAATGTTTTAATCTAAACACACAGAGAACCTGATATTTGTTAATGATCCTGGGAGAACGTTACGTCTGATGTTTCCAACTGGCTCCACTATGTTTTCTAACATATAGGTGCAGTTTCCCGTTCAGAGGAGGTGTTTCTACACAATATTATACAGCAGCGTTCGGTTCCTGAATTCAAGACATTTTTACAATAGATTTGAATGAACCCACTTGTTGTTCTGTTGTTTCTTCTTGTGCTTTTACTCTGTTTTTACTCTGATACAAACTTGAGCTGCTCAGTCTTGATCTTGATCGATGTTTCTTCTGCTCGATGGATAATGTCTGTGAAGTGATGATGTATTTTTGACAGTAAAGTTCCGTCTGTGAATTCGTATTCGTACTGATGAAAGTTTAATCGTAAATTTTCATTTCGTGATTTTAATTCATGACATCATAATTTTTCAATTCATATTCTGATGGATAAAATACACACAATATATTTTATGTACGACTGGACTCATTCGAGAGTTTACAAATATTTATTTTATGCGCAACTACAGACAAATATGCACAGATTTCTATTTTATGCGCACGAATATTTTTGACAGCTTCTTACTCCATAGAAAAGTGTCAAAAAGAGAATTTGTATAAAACAGATAAAAGTTTATTTCAGCAGCTGCTCCATCTGAACAGCTTCACACAAACAGACAAACACACAAATATTAAAATATACTAATGTAAAAATACACAAAATTCACCAAATCCTTCATTTTAGTGTTTGACAAAGTTAAAGTGCAGAGTCCTCAGAACTTCAGCGTAGTGTCCAGTGTGTGTGTGTGTGTGTGTGTGTCTGTGTTGTGTGTGTGTGTGTGTGTCTGTGTTGTGTGTGTGTGTGTGTGTGTGTGTTGTGTGTGTGTGTGTTGTGTGTGTGTGTGTGTGTGTGTGTGTGTGTGTGTGTGTGTGTGTGTGTGTGTGTGTGTGTGTGTGTGTGTGTGTGTGTGTGTGTGTGTGTGTGTGTGTGTGTGTGTGTGTGTGTGTGTGTGTGTGTGTGTGTGTGTGTGTGTGTGTGTGTGTGTGTGTGTGTGTGTGTGTGTGTGTGTGTGTGTGTGTGTGTGTGTGTGTGTGTGTGTGTGTGTGTGTGTGTGTGTGTGTGTGTGTGTGTGTGTGTGTGTGTGTGTGTGTGTGTGTGTGTGTGTGTGTGTGTGTGTGTGTGTGTGTGTGTGTGTGTGTGTGTGTGTGTGTGTGTGTTGTGTGTGTGTGTGTGTGTGTGTGTGTGTGTGTGTGTGTGTGTGTGTGTGTGTGTGTGTGTGTGTGTGTGTGTGTGTGTGTGTGTGTGTGTGTGTGTGTGTGTGTGTGTGTGTGTGTGTGTGTGTGTGTGTGTGTGTGTGTGTGTGTGTGTGTGTGTGTGTGTGTGTGTGTGTGTGTGTGTGTGTGTGTGTGTGTGTGTGTGTGTGTGTGTGTGTGTGTGTGTGTGTGTGTGTGTGTGTGTGTGTGTGTGTGTGTGTGTGTGTGTGTGTGTGTGTGTGTGTGTGTGTGTGTGTGTGTGTGTGTGTGTGTGTGTGTGTGTGTGTGTGTGTGTGTGTGTGTGTGTGTGTGTGTGTGTGTGTGTGTGTGTGTGTGTGTGTGTGTGTGTGTGTGTGTGTGTGTGTGTGTGTGTGTGTGTGTGTGTGTGTGTGTGTGTGTGTGTGTGTGTGTGTGTGTGTGTGTGTGTGTGTGTGTGTGTGTGTGTGTGTGTGTGTGTGTGTGTGTGTGTGTGTGTGTGTGTGTGTGTGTGTGTGTGTGTGTGTGTGTGTGTGTGTGTGTGTGTGTGTGTGTGTGTGTGTGTGTGTGTGTGTGTGTGTGTGTGTGTGTGTGTGTGTGTGTGTGTGTGTGTGTGTGTGTGTGTGTGTGTGTGTGTGTGTGTGTGTGTGTGTGTGTGTGTGTGTGTGTGTGTGTGTGTGTGTGTGTGTGTGTGTGTGTGTGTGTGTGTGTGTGTGTGTGTGTGTGTGTGTGTGTGTGTGTGTGTGTGTGTGTGTGTGTGTGTGTGTGTGTGTGTGTGTGTGTGTGTGTGTGTGTGTGTGTGTGTGTGTGTGTGTGTGTGTGTGTGTGTGTGTGTGTGTGTGTGTGTGTGTGTGTGTGTGTGTGTGTGTGTGTGTGTGTGTGTGTGTGTGTGTGTGTGTGTGTGTGTGTGTGTGTGTGTGTGTGTGTGTGTGTGTGTGTGTGTGTGTGTGTGTGTGTGTGTGTGTGTGTGTGTGTTGTGTGTGTGTGTGTGTGTGTGTGTGTGTGTGTGTGTGTGTGTGTGTGTGTGTGTGTGTGTGTGTGTGTGTGTGTGTGTGTGTGTGTGTGTGTGTGTGTGTGTGTGTGTGTGTGTGTGTGTGTGTGTGTGTGTGTGTGTGTGTGTGTGTGTGTGTGTGTGTGTGTGTGTGTGTGTGTGTGTGTGTGTGTGTGTGTGTGTGTGTGTGTGTGTGTGTGTGTGTGTGTGTGTGTGTGTGTGTGTGTGTGTGTGTGTGTGTGTGTGTGTGTGTGTGTGTGTGTGTGTGTGTGTGTGTGTGTGTGTGTGTGTGTGTGTGTGTGTGTGTGTGTGTGTGTGTGTGTGTGTGTGTGTGTGTGTGTGTGTGTGTGTGTGTGTGTGTGTGTGTGTGTGTGTGTGTTGTGTGTGTGTGTGTGTTGTGTGTGTTGTGTGTGTGTGTCTGTGTGTTTCACATTTACTGCATTTTTAAAGACACTTTTTCTTTTCTTCTCGTTTGTTAAACGTTGGTGATTTTATTGGTGTAAAAAACATAAAAACAGTGAAATATAAAACTTTAAAAATACAAACAAAATAAAATAAATAATCATAATCTGACATCACAGGAGCAAAAACTGGAGAGTGAAAACTTCAGGGTAAAATATTTCAGAGTTGTTTTTAACACAAAAAGTGTTTTATTTTAACTCTTTGAGAGTTAAATGTGTGTTGGAGTTGAGGTGATTTGTCAGAGTTGATTTGGTTGAAGTTAATTCAACTTCTCTTAGTGTTAATTTGTCTCCAACACTTCAAACTCCCTCCAGAGAAGAACCAGTTTGAACCAGTTTTGTTCAGAATTTCATCTTAAATTAACTCAAATAAAGTGTCAAAATAAAACTCCTCTGTGTTGTTGAGTTAAATCAGGATAACTCTACAAAGTGTTATCTGTTTACTCTCTAAACCTTCATTTAACTCTGGATTTGGGTTAAACAGGAACTTTGGTCCAGTTTTACTTCATGAACTTTTACACAAATGTTAAATTAACTCTAGAACAGAGTGACTCAGAGAAACTCTGAGGAAATGTTCAAACTGACTCTGTGTGAGTTCATTTTAACACTTCACTTTTTACTCTGTTTGTCTCGTCTCAGTACAGACACGTTGTAAAAGCAGCTCTCAGGTGAAAATAAATCCACTCACAAAGCCTTTTATTGTCTGAGACTCAGGAAGTGCTCATTAGCATGCTATTTGTTTTGATTCTACACTGGTCTCTGGGAGCATCAGGGACGTGAGGAGAAACTCTGGACAAACTGTTTCAAATTAACTTTTTTTTTTCACATTTTGAAGACAAAGTAAAACTGGTGCAGAGGCTTAAATATTTTTGGCAAAACTCGAAACGTCTGAACAAATATTTGGTTGAAAACGTGAGTCTCACAAAACTCTGAAGGAGGAGAACGAAGCGACGCTGTGTTTCCCCGTTTGTCCCTGAAGCGGTTTTATCGTTAAACTAAAGTGAATTAAAAACAGGTTCCTTCATTTGTGTTTCATGAAACTCTCCTGGAGTTTCTCTTCTGAACTTTCACAGTGGGCGGCACTTTTACAAAAACAAATCTTCATGAGTTTACGTGAAAAACACAATTTTCACACAATTTAAAGCTTCAGTATCACAAAAACTGACTTTAAGTCAGGGTCTAATGTTCTGATGTTCTGATGTTCTAATGTTCTGATGTTCTGATGTTCTAATGTTCTAATGTTCTGATGTTCTAATGTTCTAATGTTCTAATGTTCTGATGTTCTAATGTTCTGATGTTCTGATGTTCTGATGTTCTGATGTTCTAATGTTCTAATGTTCTGATGTTCTGATGTTCTGATGTTCTGATGTTCTGATGTTCTGAATGTTCTAATGTTCTGATGTTATGTTCTAATGTTCTGATGTTCTAAATGTTCTAATGTTCTAATGTTCTGATGTTCTAATGTTCTGATGTTCTGATGTTCTCTGAATGTTCTGATGTTCTGCTGAATGTTCTGATGTTCTAATGTTCTGATGTTCTAATGTTCTAATGTTCTGATGTTCTGATGTTCTGATGTTCTGATGTTCTGATGTTCTAATGTTCTGATGTTCTGATGTTCTGATGTTCTGATGTTCTGATGTTCTGATGTTCTGATGTTCTGATGTTCTGATGTTCTGATGTTCTGATGTTCTGATGTTCTGATGTTCTAATGTTCTGTGATGTTCTGATGTTCTAATGTTCTGATGTTCTGATGTTCTGATGTTCTGATGTTCTGATGTTCTGAATGTTCTGATGTTCTAATGTTCTGAATGTTCTGATGTTCTGATGTTCTAATGTTCTAATGTTCTAATGTTCTGATGTTCTAATGTTCTAATGTTCTGATGTTCTGATGTTCTGATGTTCTGATGTTCTAATGTTCTGATGTTCTGATGTTCTGATGTTCTAATGTTCTAATGTTCTGATGTTCTGATGTTCTGATGTTCTGATGTTCTGATGTTCTGGTCACACACAGAGCTGGACTTGTGTTTCTTTTAGGTTGACCAGGTTTTCAAAATAAAAAAACGGAACAATCTGTGACAAGAATTGCCAAAATTATTCCTTTTTTTTCTGGGACACCCTGTATGTGCGTCGTGTCACCGTAGTAACTGCTGAACATTTCCCCGTAGACATACATGCAGAACCTCCCCTGCAGCGTGACGCCAGCGCAAAGTGGCTCCTTCATTTTTTAACTTCAAATTCTAAAATAAAAACACACAGATTTTCAGAATCTGTGTGTTGTTTGTTAATTCATTTTTCAAAATAAAAACAAAAATAAGAAAACAAAAAAAAAACTAATATTTTTTTCATTATTTGTCTCCAAAACCAAAATTAAAAAACAAATTTTTTTTCTTTTTTTTTTCAGTTTTCGATTTTGTGTTTTTTTTGTGTGAAAAATGGAAAAAAACAGATAAAGGACTAAACCAGGACTAAACCAGGTCTGAACCAGGACTAAACCAGGACTAAACCGGTCTCAGTCTTGGTCTGGTCCTAGTCTTGGTCCGTATGTGGTGCAAAAGTCCAGAAATGTCCGTTATCCGTTTTGTTTATTTTTTTCGATTTTTCATTTAAACACAAAATCTAAAACTGAAAAAAACAAATCTTTATCTTTTCGGGGGTTTTTTTGTTTTTTTTTCCATTTTGGTTTTGGAGACAAATAGTGAAGAAAACTGTTTTTTAATTTTCTTTTTTCTGGTTTTATTTTGAAAAACGACACACGGCTTCTTCAGTCCTCGTTAGTGCGTCTTACTTCATTCTTTTACCTTCACTTTGGATAAAAATCTGTCTCTTTACAAAAAAAAGTGGTTCCAAAAAGTGCCGAGGTGAGTAAATAAGTGAAAATTTATCCAGTCTCCAGAAGTTTTTCCGCCAGTGAACCTCTACGCCCTGTAAGTCCGGCTCCTCTTGCGTTTCCGCGACCGGCAGCACTTTACGAGCAGCACCAGCGCGATGATCAGCACCAGCGCCACCACCACCACCACGATCACGTTCACGCTGCCGTTCTCCAGGTCCTTGCACATCTCCTCCGTCACCTTCTCGATGTTCACCGGCTCGGCGTCCTCCAGGAACACGCAGGTGACCGCCTCGATGTCCGGCACCACCACGTTGGACATCTTGAGTAGGTTCAGGAAGGGCAGGTTGGAACAGCAGCTCAGGGGGTTGGAGCCCACGTAGAGGGTCTTCAGGGAACTTTCCAGAGCCGCGACCGTGCCGTAGTCCAGCGTCACCAGGTTGTTGTTCTGGAGGTTCAGGGACTCGATGGACGACGCCCGGTTCCACGCGGGGAGGGCGGTGAGCTGGTTCGTGGACAAATCTACGTACTTCAGGTTCCTGAGTGAAGACAAGTCTGAGTTTATCGCGCTCATGTTATTTTCCTTAAAAAACAGACGCTCCAAAGAGTTCTCCAGTCCAGAAAAGGAGTCCTGATGTAAGTCCAAACCGGGATTCTGGGACAAATCGAGATGCGTGAGCGGTGTGTTCCTGAACGCTCCCGATGGAATTCTCCAAAGCTTGTTCTCCGAAAGGTCGAGGTACTCCAAACTGGGAACAGACTCGAACGAAACGCAAAATTTTGAGTCCTCTAACGTCTTCTGGGAGCAAATATTGATCTCGTTCTGCTGTAGGTGCAGGAGCCGGAGGCTCTTCAAGGTCTGAAACCCCAATGTGGTGAGGCCGTTCCCGTTCAGGTACAGCTCCTCCAGCGATGGCAGGCTCGTCTGCGTGATCTGAAACGTCTGTAACGAGTTCTCGCCGAGGTTAAGGATGCGAACTTTGGGTAAAAGGTCTCGCGTTAAGGAGAAAGACGTCAAGCAGTTGTTGCTGACGTTCAGGACTTCCAGCGAGAGCATCGTGTGGAAAAGCGACTCGGGTAAACTTTGGAAGTTGTTGAAGCTCAAATCCAGGTACTTCAGGTGATGGAAACAGTTGTGGTGTTTGGTTAAACTCGGCGGCTGGTACAGGCACGTGCACAGGAAGAAGATCTGCCCGCTGTAGCTTCCCGTGACGTTAACGCCCTGGATCTGATTGTAAGACAAGTCCAAATATTCCAGCTTGTTCTTCCTGGGAATCAGCGGCAGAAGAGGAAGTTTATTTTGGCTCAAATCCAGTGAAACCAGCTGGTAGAGCTCGTCGGAAGGCGCACTCAGGAACATCTCCAGGCTGTTCTGGCTCAGGTTGAGGTTCCTTAGATTGTAAAGGTTGAAATCCGTGATGCAGTTGATGGAGTTCTTGGACAAGTCGAGGTCAGATAAATGGTCCAGGAGGTCGAAAGCTCCGTCCTCGATCTCCATGATGACGTTGTTGTGAAGGTTGATGCTCCTCAGCGACAAGGAACCCCTGAAGGCGTCGCCGGAGATCTTCGTGATGCTGTTGCCGCTCAGAGAAAGATTCACCAACAGCTGAGAATCGTTCAAGAAATATTCCATCATCCCGGTGAAAAGCCCGTTGCCGGACAGGTCCAGCGACTCGACGGCGCCGAGGGGCCCGATTTGGGTTCTGTGCGCGGCGAAGGCGTTGAGCTGATTGCGGGACAGGTCCAGCATTTTGAGCTGAGTCATTCCGGCGAACAGTCCGGGCTGGATGAAGTGGATCCTGTTGCCGTGGAGGTTGAGGTGGCGCAGGCCGGTGTAGAAGGCGATGGGCTCCCGGGTGAGGTTCTGCAGCTGGTTGCGGGACAGGTCCAGGGTGTGGATGCCCCGGGGCAGGTCCTGCGGGACGCTGTGGAGACCCAGGTCACTGCAGAACCCCTCCACCTGAGGGCAAAAACACACACGGAACATGAAGGTGAGTGTGGTGGTTCACATTCAGATGACTTTTATTTGTCAAGAACAACAACAACAACAACAACATCAACGATAAAAACTTCAAAGTTCTGCACGACGTAAAACTGAAACCCCTGTGAGATTTTAGTCAAGTTCTAATGTTTCCTCCTCAAAAACAAACGAGGAGCTGTGTTTTGTTAAAGAACTACCGAAAAATGTGACCGTTTAAACCAAGATTAAACCAGGACCAAATCTGCTCCAAAAAACAGGACTAAACTTGGACTGAAGCAGGACTAAACCAGGTCTAAAAACCAGGACCAAACTGGGACTAAACCAGGACCAAACCAAGACCGAACCAGGACTAAACCAGGACCAAACCAGGTCCATGTGTGGTTTCTAGTCTCTGAGCTCTTATATTTGTTCTGCTCCAGCTCCAGTTCATTCTAAACACATTCAGGAGATGTTCTGAAGGTTCTAAAGGTTCTAAAGGTTCTGAAGGTTCTGCTCTGTCCTGTCAGTGCAGTGTTTTTAGGATCGACACCTGAGAAAAAAAGGATCTAGTTTCAGTTCTCGTTCCACTTTCAGACTCGCCGTGGTCGTGTTAAAGGTTCTGTGTTCTTCTAACGGTTCTTCTGGATCCGAGAAGAACCGTTAGAAGAACCGCTGCTGCTGCTGCTGCTGCTGCTGCTGCTGTTGTTGTTGTTTTAGAGTCAAACCAAAACGCCGCTCAGGCCTCGTGAGAACTCGTGATAAACAAAAAAACCTCTGTGAATAATTAAGACGCTCAGAACAAGTGAGGTCAGTGTGGAAGAACGTTGGACCTGGTTCCAAACGTCCGACGGCGAGAAACGACCTCATCCCCTTAAACCTGCTCCTCCTGTTCTTCTGAGACTCGCTCGGGTAAAACCGCCCGGCGACGCTTCCTGTGAACGTTCCTGAACGATGTCGGGTCAAATAAATCAAGATTTCAGCTTCGTAAAAAAAACAAAAAAAATGAAGCGACTAAACGAGGTTTTTCTCCACAGCGTTTTTACGACATTCGACACACGAGCCGAGTACGATTGAGTTTAATGTTTTAAATCTCAATATTGATCAGACACGACTTGATAAAAGAAACAAGGACTAAACCAGGACTAAACCAGGACTAAACCAGGACTAAACCAGGACTAAACCAGGACTAAACCAGGACTAAACCAGGACTAACCAGGACTAAAACCAGGACTAAACCAGGACTAAACCAGGACTAAACCAGGACTAAACCAGGACTGAACCAGGACTAAACCAGGACTAAACCAGGACTAAACCAGGACTAAACCAGGACTAAACCAGGACTAAACAAGGACTAAACCAGGACTGAACCAGGACTGAACCAGGACTGAACCAGGACTAAACCAGGTCTAAACCAAGACTAAACCAGGACTAAACCAGGACTAAATCAGGACTGAACCAGGTCTAAACCAGGACTAAACCAGGACTAAACCAGGACTGAACCAGGACTGAACCAGGACTAAACCAGGTCTAAACCAAGACTAAACCAGAACTAAACCAGGACTAAATCAGGAATAAACCACAGGACTGAACCAGGACTAAACCAGGACTGAACCAGGACTAAACCAGGACTAAACCAGGACTAAATCAGGAATAAACCACAGGACTGAACCAGGACTAAACCAGGACTGAACCAGGACTAAACCAGGACTAAACCAGGACTAAATCAGGACTGAACCAGGACTAAACCAGGACTAAACCAGGACTAAACCAGGACTAAACCAGGTCTAAACCAGGACTAAATCAGGTCTAAACCAGGACTAAACCAGACTGTATGTTGGACTTTTGCACCACATACAGACTGAACCAGAACTGATTCAGGTCCGAGACCAAAACCAGGACTGAGACTGGGACCAGACTGGGACTGACCAGCTGAGGCTCGGAACCTGCAGAGGGTCGGAGTCAAAGCTTGGAGTCCACTCTGGTCTCACTCTGGTCTCACTCTGGTCTCACTCTGGTCTCACTCTGGTCTCGCTCTGGTCTCACTTTGGTCTCGCTCTGGTCTCACTCTGGTCTCGCTCTGGTCTGGTCCCGGTCTGGTCCCGGACCTGGTTCAGTCCTGGTTCAGTCCTGGTTCAGTCCTGGTTTAGACCTGGTTTAGTCCTGGTTTAGTCCTGGTTTCGTCATCGCACATTTAAACGTTGGACTGAGTCGTGTAATCGAGACCATCTGTCCTCGCGGAGACTCGTAAACGTCTCCCCCCCCACGCCGCTGGAATGTGTTCAGAGCCAGACTGACCTGAGGGACCCGAGGGACTCGAGGGACCCGAGGGACCCGGGGGACGGACCCGAGGGACCCGAGGGACGGACTGCGGGGGGGGGGGGGGGGCTCCTCCACAGTCGATTTAATCATCACCAAACGACACAAACTGAGAGTCCAAGTGTCTGAAAATCATGTCACTAGACCTGGTTTAGTCCTGGTTTAGTCCTGGTTTAGACCTGGTTTAGTTCTGGTTTATTCCTGGTTTAGACCTGGTTTAGTCCTGGTTTAGACCTGGTTTAGACCTGGTTTAGACCTGGTTTAGACCTGGTTTAGTCCTGGTTTAGACCTGGTTTAGACCTGGTTTAGTTCTGGTTTATTCCTGGTTTAGACCTGGTTTAGTCCTGGTTTAGACCTGGTTTAGACCTGGTTTAGACCTGGTTTAGTCCTGGTTTAGTTTAGACCTGGTTTAGACTGGTTTAGTCCTGGTTTAGACCTGGTTTAGACCTGGTTTAGACCTGGTTTAGTTTAGTCCTGGTTTAGACCTGGTTTAGTTCTGGTTTAGTCTGGTTTAGTCCTGGTTTAGACCTGGTTTAGTTCTGGTTTAGTCCTGGTTTAGTCCTGGTTTAGACCTGGTTTAGTTCTGGTTTAGTCCTGGTTTAGTCCTGGTTTAGACCTGGTTTAGTCCTGGTTTAGACCTGGTTTGGTCTTGGGTCTTTATGTTTGTTTCTTGATCTCGACTGAACTTAGAGTAAAAGAAGCTGAAAACTACCACTTGATGACATCACGAGGTGGAACAGAGCGTTTGGACTTTTGCAGATGTAACAGACGAATAATCAAGAGTTAAACAAACAAACAAACAAACACAACTCCAGCTCTGTGTGGGACCAGGACCTGGACCAGGACCTGGACCAGGACCAGTCCAGGACTGGTACTTGGTATTTGTTTCCAGGCGTGTTTTTTTATTGAAGTTCTGTTGACGTGTTTCTTTTCCTGAGCCCAGTTTTTTTTTTTTTTTTGTTTTACGGGGAACGTGAGCAGATCCAAGTCCAGGTCCAGGAAAACACGAATACCTGCCCCGTCGCCACGGCAACGCACCACATAAACTCAGAACAGATGGTGAACAGCACCGACCCGAGCGAGAAGGAATGTACCACCAAGAAACAACCAAGAAACAACCAAGAAACGAACCAAGAAACAACCAAGAAACAACAAAGAAACGACCAAGAAACGACCAAGAAACGACAAAGAAACAACCAAGAAACGACCAAGAAACAACCAAGAAACAACAAAGAAACGACCAAGAAACGACCAAGAAACAACAAAGAAACGACCAAGAAACGAAACAACAAGAAACAACCAAGAAACAACAAAGAAACGACCAAGAAACAACAAAGAAACGACCAAGAAACAACAAAGAAACAAAGAAACAACCAAGAAACAAAAGAAACGAAACACAAGAAACAACCAAGAACGAAAGAAACAACAAGAAACAAAAGAAACGAAACGAAAGAAACGACCAAGAAAACAAAAAGAAAGAAACCAAGAAACGACCAAGAAACGACCAAGAAACGACCAAGAAACCAAGAAACACCAAGAAACAAAGAAACGACCAAGAAACACGAAAAACGAAACGACAAGAAACAACAAAGAAACGACCAAGAAACAACAAGAAACACCGAAGAAACGAACCAAGAAACAACGAAAGAAACGACAAGAAACGAACAAAGAAACGACCAAGAAACGAAACAACCAAGAAACGAAACAAGAAACAACAAAGAAACGACCAAGAAACGAACGAAAGAAACAAGAAACGACCAAGAAACAACAAGAAACAACAAGAAACGACCAAGAAACAACGAAGAAACAAAGAAACGACCAAGAAACAACCAAAGAAAACAACAAAGAAACAACCAAGAAACAACCAAGAAACAACGAAGAAACGACCAAGAAACAACGAAGAAACAACCAAGAAACAACCAAGAAACGACCAAGAAACAACGAAAGAAACAACGAAGAAACGACCAAGAAACAACCAAGAAACAAAGAAACGACCAAGAAACAACCAAGAAACGAAAAACAAAGAAACAACCAAGAAACAACAAAGAAACAACCAAGAAACGACCAAGAAACGACCAAGAAACAACGAAGAAACGACCAAGAAACAACGAAAGAAACAACAAAGAAACGACCAAGAAACAACCAAGAAACGACCAAGAAACAACCAAGAAACAACAAAGAAACGACCAAGAAACGACCAAGAAACGACCAAGAAACCCAAGAAACGACCAAGAAACAACCAAGAAACGACCAAGAAACGACCAAGAAACAACGAAGAAACGACCAAGAAACAACGAAGAAACGACCAAGAAACAACGAAGAAACAACGAAGAAACGACCAAGAAACAACGAAGAAACGACCAAGAAACAACAAAGAAACAACCAAGAAACGACCAAGAAACAACGAAGAAACGACCAAGAAACCAAGAAACGACGAAACCAAGAAACAACAAGAAACGAAAGAAACGAACAAGAAACGAAACGACCAAGAAACAACGAAGAAACAACGAAACAACAAGAAACAACGAAGAAACGACCAAGAAACGACCAAGAAACGACCAAGAAACGACCAAGAAACGACCAAGAAACGACCAAGAAACAACGAAGAAACGACCAAGAAACGACCAAGAAACAACCAAGAAACAACCAAGAAACGACCAAGAAACAACGAAAGAAACGACCAAGAAACAACGAAGAAACAACAAAGAAACGACCAAGAAACAACGAAGAAACAACAAAGAAACAATAAAGAAACAACAAAGAAACAACCAAGAAACAACCAAGAAACGACCAAGAAACAACCAAGAAACAACAAAGAAACGACCAAGAAACGACCAAGAAACGACCAAGAAACGACCAAGAAACGACCAAGAAACAACCAAGAAACGACCAAGAAACGACCAAGAAACGACCAAGAAACGAACAAGAAACAACGAAGAAACGACCAAGAAACAACGAAGAAACGACCAAGAAACAACGAAGAAACGACCAAGAAACAACGAAGAAACGACAAAGAAAAACAACGAAGAAACAAGAAACCAAGAAACAAAGAAACGAACGAAGAACGACCAAGAAACGACCAAGAAACAACGAAGAAACGACCAAGAAACAACGAAGAAACGACCAAGAAACAACGAAGAAACGACCAAGAAACAACCAAGAAACCCAAGAAACGAAAGAACAACAAGAAACAACCAAGAAACGACAAGAAACGACAAGAAACGAACCAAGAAACGACCAAAGAAACAACCAAGAAGAAACACCAAGAAAACAACGAAGAAACGACCAAGAAACAACGAAGAAACGACCAAGAAACAACGAAGAAACGACCAAGAAACAACAAGAAACGAAAGACAAGAAACAAAGAAACGAAGAAGAAACAACGAAGAAACGAAAAGAAAACGACCAAGAAACGACCAAGAAACGAAACAAAGAAACGAAACAACAAGAAGAAACGACCAAGAAACAACGAAAGAAACGACCAAGAAACGAAACGAAACGACAAGAAACGACCAAGAAACGACCAAGAAACAACGAAAAAACAAACCAAGAAACAACAAGAAACGAAAGAAACAACCAAGAAACAAGAAACGAAGAAACGAAGAAACGAAAGAAACCAAGAAACGAACGAAGAAACGAAGAAACGAAGAAACGAAGAAACGAAGAAACGAAGACGACACAAAACGTTTCCTCTGATCAGAACTTTTGAAACGTTTAAATCCAGGAGCCGAATCAGAAAACTCACCTCATATAAACGTTCAATATCACAAAACAGACAGAACTAAACCAGGACTAAACCAGGACTAAACCAGGTCTAAACCAGGTCTAAACCAGGACTAAACCAGGACTAAACCAGGACTAAACTCTAAACCAGGACTAAACCAGGACTAAACCAGGTCTAAACCAGGACTAAACCAGGACTAAACCAGGACTAAACCAGGACTAAACCAGGTCTAAACCAGGACTAAACCAGGACTAAACCAGGACTAAACCAGGACTAAACCAGGACTAAACCAGGACTAAACCAGGACTAAACCAGGACTAAACCAGGACTAAACCAGGACTAAACCAGGACTAAACCAGGACTAAACAGGACTAAACCAGGACTAAACCAGGACTAAACCAGGACTAAACCAGGACTAAACCAGGACTAAACCAGGACTAAACCAGGACTAAACCAGGACTAAACCAGGACTAAACCAGGACTAAACCAGGACGAAACCAGGACTAAACCAGGTCTAAACCAGGACTAAACCAGGTCTAAACCAGGACTAAACCAGGACTAACTGAACCAGGACTAAACCAGGTCTGGGAGGACTAAACCAGTTGGGACGGGCCCAGAGGTTGGCCCAAGGCTCAGGGTTCTCCCGCTCCCTCTCAAGTCCTCATTTAGTCCTGGTTCAGTCCTGGTTCAATCCTGGTTTAGTCCTGGTTTAGACCTGGTTTAGACCTGGTTTAGACCTGGTTTAGTCCTGACTCTGAGCTTCGTTCTTCATCGTTTTTTAAGTCAGTTCCAGAAGTTCTGTAGACCTGGTGCTGACAGGTGCAGGTGCAGGTGTAGGACAGGTGCAGGTGCAGGTGCAGGACAGGTGCAGGTGCAGGTGCAGGTGCAGGTGCAGGTGCAGGTGCAGGACAGGTGCAGGTGCAGGACAGGTGCAGGTGCAGGACAGGTGCAGGTGCAGGACAGGTGCAGGACAGGTGCAGGTGCACAGGTGCAGGTGCAGGTGCAGGTGCAGGTGCAGGTGCAGGACAGGTGCAGGTGGCAGGTGCAGACAAGGTGCAGGTGCAGGTGCAGGTGCATGCACAGGTGCAGGTGCAGGTGAGAGGACAGGTGCAGGTGCAGGTCAGTGTCCAAGAAACGATTCAAGAGCTCATTTGGTCTGATCATTTTGATGAAGGAACTGCATCCTTCAGTGCTCCATGTGTTTGTACTGATCCAGCTCCAGATCCTCCTACAGGTTCTACAGGTTCTACAGGCTCTCAAGGTTCTACAGGTTCTAAAGGTTCTAAAGGTTCTACAGGTTCTAAAGGTTCTGACTGTCCTGAAAATGGGCCGGTTTTAGGATCCAGACCTGAGGAACATGAGGATCTAGTTTCGTTTTTAGTTTCAGGTTTGGTTTGGATCTGTTTCTTTGTTTCTTTGTCTTCAGGTTTTCCAAGGTTCCTGGTGTGAAATAAAAAAACGCGGCGTGTCCTGGTACTCACCCTGGTGCAGGACGGCGTCAGGGGCGGAGTCAGGGGCGGCGTCGGGGGCGGAGTCAGGGGCAGAGAGGGTCGTGAGGAGGTCAGGTCGCAGCAGAGGAGGACGAGGAGCACGGACAGATCCATCATGGTTCTACAGAAACACAAGAGCGACATGAGAAACGTCTGAGGAGGAACCGAGGAACCGAGGAACCGAGGAACCGAGGAGACGCCTGAAGGTCCCGAACAACGACGACGTCACCACAGCTTCAGTCAAACGAAGCTCATCGACGCTGCGGTGACAGGAATGAACCAGGTCTAAACCAGGTCTACACCAGGTCTAAACCAGGACTAAACCAGGTCTAAACCAGGTCTAAACCAGGTCTAAACCAGGTCTAAACCAGGTCTAAACCAGGTTAAACTAAACCAGGTCTAAACCAGGTCTAAACCAGGTCTAAACCAGGTCTAAACCAGGTCTAAAACCAGGTAAACCAGGTCTAACCAGGACTAAACCAGGAAAACCAGGTAAACCAGGTCTAAACCAGGGTCTAAACCAGGTCTAAACCAGGACTAAACCAGGTCTAAACCAGGTCTACTAAACCAGGTCTAAACCAGGTCTAAACTAAACAGGTCTAAACCAGGTCTAAACCAGGTCTAAACCAGGACTAAACCAGTAAACCAGGTCTAAACCAGGTCTATACCAGGTCAAACTAAACCAGGACTAAACCAGGACTAAACCAGGTCTAAACCAGGTCTAAACCAGGTCTAAACCAGGTCTAAACCAGGTCTACACCAGGTCTATACCAGGTCTAAACCAGGTCTAAACCAGGTCTAAACCAGGACTAAACCAGGTCTAAACCAGGTCTAAACCAGGTCTAAACCAGGTCTAAACCAGGTCTAAACCAGGTCTAAACCAGGTAAACTAAACCAGGACTAAACCAGGTCTAAACCAGGTCTAAATCAGGACAAAACCAGATCTAAACCAGGACTAAACCTGGACTAAACCAGGACTAAACCTGGACTAGAACAGGACTGAATCAGGACTAAACCCGGACTAGAACAGGACTAAACTAGGACTAAAACAGGTCTAAACCAGGTCTAAACCTGGACTAGAACAGGACTAGAACAAAACTAAATCAGGACTAGAAAAAGACCAAACCAGGTCTACATCAGGACTAAAACAGGACTAAACCAGGTCTCAGACTGAATCAGATCCGGTCTGGCGTTGGGGCCGGTGTGAGAACCTGATTGAAAACAGGTGTGAGGGATTAAAGCTCAGATACGGAAAATACCACAACAACCTAAACACACGAGGGGGTGGTACACCCAGATAATACTCCCTACAACTGTACAACTCACACTTATGTCCCAGATAATACTCCCTACAACTGTACAACTCACCCTTATGTCCCAGATAATACTCCCTACAACTGTACAACTCACCCTTATGTCCCAGATAATACTCCCTACAACTGTACAACTCACCCTTATGTCCCAGATAATACTCCCTACAACTGTACAACAACTCACACTTATGTCCCAGATAATACTCCCTACAACTGTACAACTCACACTTATGTCCCAGATAATACTCCCTACAACTGTACAACTCACACTTATGTCCCAGATAATACTCCCTACAACTGTACAACTCACACTTATGTCCCAGATAATACTCCCTACAACTGTACAACTCACACTTATGTCCCAGATAATACTCCCTACAACTGTACAACTCACACTTATGTCCCAGATAATACTCCCTACAACTGTACAACTCACCCTTATGTCCCAGATAATACTCCCTACAACTGTAAACTGTCCCAGATAATACTCTACCTGTACTACAACTGTACAACTCACACTTATGTCCCAGATAATACTCCCTACAACTGTACAACTCACCTGTACCAGATAATACTCCCTACAACTGTTACAACTCACCCTTATGTCACAGATAATACTCCCTACAACTGTACAACTCACACTTATGTCCCAGATAATACTCCCTACAACTGTACAACTCACCCTTATGTAACAATATACTCCCTACAACTGTACAACTCACCCTGTACAACTCACACTTATGTCCCAGATAATACTCCCTACAACTGTACAACTCACACTTATGTCCCAGACAACTAATTATGTCCCAGATAATACTCCCTACAACTGTACAACTCACCCCCAGATAATATGTACAAGATAATCCCTACAACTGTACATCACACTTATGTCCCATAATACTCCCTACAACTGTACAACTCACACTTATGTCCCAGATAATACTCCCTACAACTGTACAACTGTAATACTGTACAACTCACACTTATGTCCCAGATAATACTCCCTACAACTGTACAACTCACACTTATGTCCCAGATAATACTCCCTACGACAGAGTCTGAGCTGAACTGAGACTAAACAGGAAGGAAACGCCGACAGACCAAGTCCAGTCTCACAGACAAAACTAAACACAAACAGGACTAGACCAGGACTAAACCAGGACTAAACCAGGTCTAAACCAGGACTAAACGGGTGTAAACCAGGATGTGCCCACCTGGGACTGACGGGTCTTGGACTTGGACTTGGACTTGGACTTGGATCTGGTTTTGGACTGCAGGTCTAGAGTAGGTCCACGGGGCAGGAGCTGGACGACCAATCAGAGAAGCCCGTCATTGTGAAGTCCCGCCCACTGCTCCAGGAAACGCCTTATAAGGGAAACGAAGAGAAGGAAATTAAACTTAGACCAGGACTAAACCAGGACTAAACAAGGTCTAAACCAGGTTTAAACCAGGTCTAAACAAGGTCTAAACCAGGACTAAACCAGGACTAAACCAGGTCTAAACCAAGGTCTAAACCAGGTCTAAACCAGGTCTAAACCAGGACTAAACCAGGTCTAAAACAAGGTCTAAACCAGGTCTAAACCAGGTCTAAACCAAGGTCTAAACCAGGTCTAAACCAGGACTAAACCAGGTCTAAACAAGGTCTAAACCAGGTCTAAACCAGGTCTAAACCAGGTCTAAACCAGGTCTAAACCAGGTCTAAACAAGGTCTAAACCAGGTCTAAACCAGGACTAAACCAGGTCTAAACAAGGTCTAAACCAGGTCTAAACCAGGTCTAAACCAGGTCTAAACCAAAACTAAACAAGGTCTAAACCAGGTCTAAACCAAAACTAAACAGGTCTAAACCAGGTCTAAACCAGGTCTAAACCAAAACTAAACAAGGTCTAAACCAGGTCTAAACCAGGTCTAAACTAAACAAAACCAGGTCTAAACTAAACCGGTCTAAACCAGGACTCTAAACCAGGTCTAAACCAGGTCTAAACCAAGGTCTAAACCAGGTCTAAACCAGGTCTAAACTAAACCAGGTCTAAACCAGGTCTAAACCAGGTCTAAACTAAACCAGGTCTAAACCAAAACAAGGTCTAAACCAGGACTAAACCAGGTCTAAACCAAAACCAGGTCTAAACCAGGTCTAAACCAGGTCTAAACCAGGTCTAAACCAGGTAAACCAGGTCTAAACCAAGGTCTAAAACTAAACAGGTCTAAACCAGGTCTAAACAAGGTCTAAACCAGGTCTAAACCAGACCCTTCTCTGGACTGATCCGCATCATGTCTGGACTCTCGGATCTGGACCAGACTACATTGAACCGCGTTTGAAGCGAGAGTCGGGTCAAAGCGGGTCGTGTCAGGAAGGGCATCTGACGTAAATCTGGTTCCAGGCGGATCCAGGACGTCGAGTCTGAATTATGTTTCTCCAAGATTCCACAGATGTTTTCAAGATCCTCAGAGATTTGGGAATCTGAAATACGTCACCTCCTCGAGAGAATCCAGACCCCAGACCATGTAAGGAACCAGGACTAGACCAGGTCTAAACCAGGTCTAAACCAGGTCTAAACCAGGTCTAAACCAGGTCTAAACCAGGACTAAACCAGGACTAAACCAGGACTAAACCAGGAAACCAGGTCTAAACCAGGACTAAACCAGGACTAAACCAGGACTAAACCAGGTCTAAACCAGGACTAAACCAGGTCTAAACCAGGACTAACCAGGTCTAAACCAGGACTAAACCAGGACTAAACTAAACAGGACTAAACCAGGTCTAAACCAGGACTAAACCAGGACTCTAAACCAGGTTAAACCAGGACTAAACCAGGTCTAAACCAGGACTAAACCAGGACTAAACTAAACCAGGACTAAACCAGGTCTAAACCAGGACTAAACCAGGTCTACCAGGACTAAACCAGGACTAAACCAGGACTAAACTAAACCAGGTCTAAACCAGGTAAACCAGGACTAAACCAGGACTAAACCAGGACTAAACCAGGACTAAACCACCAGGTAAACCAGGACTAAACCAGGACTAAACCAGGACCAGGACTAAACCAGGACTAAACCAGGACTCTAAACCAGGACTAAACCAGGACTAAACCAGGTCCAGGACTAAAACCAGGACTAAACCAGGTCTAAACCAGGTCTAAACCAGGACTAAACCAGGTCTAAACCAGGACTAAACCAGGACTAAACCAGGTTAAACCAGGACTAAACCAGGACTAAACCAGGACTAAACCAGGACTAAACCAGGACTAAACCAGGTCTAAACCAGGACTAAACCAGGACTAAACCAGGACTAAGGTGGAGTCAGGTTTGTGGAGAGACGAGCCCCCGTCACCGTGGAAACACTTTAGTCTCATGAAACTTCACAAACACAGAGTCTGATCCTAAAAGTCTCCGGTTTATTTGAGTGTTTGATTCACAAATGTAAATTTAATATATAAATATATATATATATATATATACATATATATATATATATATATATATATATATATATATATATATATATATATATAATAGTGTTTCCACGGTGACGTCACAGAAACAGAAAAGTGACACAGTGAAACTTTAACAGTGAATCTGTCAAACTCCAGAGAAAAAGACAAAATTCAACAAGATTCAAACTAAATCAACTTTTGTATAAAACGACAAAATTTATTTATCCTTTTGTTTCTGCAGCTTCAACGCAGCACCTGTCCACCTGTCCACCTGTCCACCTGTCCACCTGTCCACCTGTCCACCTGTCCACCTGTCCACCTGTCCACCTGTCCCCCTGTCCACCTGTCCACCTGTCCCCTGTCCCCTGTCCACCTGTCCACCTGTCCCCCTGTCCACCTGTCCACCTGTCCACCTGTCCACCTGTCCACCTGTCCACCTGTCCACCTGTCCACCTGTCCACCTGTCCACCTGTCCACCCTGTCCACCTGTCCACCTGTCCCCTGTCCCCCTGTCCACCTGTCCACCTGTCCACCCTGTCCCCCTGTCCACCTGTCCACCTGTCCCCCTGTCCACCTGTCCACCCTGTCCCCCTGTCCACCTGTCCACCTGTCCACCTGTCCCCCTGTCCACCTGTCCACCTGTCCCCCTGTCCCCCTGTCCCCCTGTCCACCTGTCCCCTGTCCCCCTGTCCCCCTGTCCACCTGTCCCCCTGTCCCCTGTCCACCTGTCCCCCTGTCCCCCTGTCACCTGTCCACCTGTCCACCTGTCCCCCTGTCCCCCTGTCCCCCTGTCCCCTGTCCACCTGTCCCCCTGTCCCCCTGTCCACCTGTCCCCTGTCCACCTGTCCACCTGTCCACCTGTCCACCTGTCCACCTGTCCACCTGTCCACCTGTCCCCCTGTCCCCCTGTCCACCTGTCCCCCTGTCCCCCTGTCCCCTGTCCCCTGTCCACCTGTCACCTGTCCCCCTGTCCCTGTCCACCTGTCCCCCCTGTCCACCTGTCCCCCTGTCCACCTGTCCACCTGTCCCCTGTCCCCCTGTCCCCCTGTCCACCTGTCCACCTGTCCCCACCTGTCCCCCTGTCCCCCTGTCCCCACCCTGTCCCCCTGTCCACCTGTCCCCCTGTCCACCTGTCCCCCTGTCCACCTGTCCCTGTCCACCTGTCCACCCTGTCCCCTGTCCCCCTGTCCACCTGTCCCCGTGTCAGGTGTGTCAGGTGCTGTCAGGTGTTGTCAGGTGTTGTCAGGTGCTGTCAGGTGCTGTCAGGTGTTGTCAGGTGTTGTCAGGTGCTGTCAGGTGCTGTCAGGTGTTCAGGTGTTGTCAGGTGTTGTCAGGTGTCAGGTGTGTCAGGTGTTGTCAGGTGTGTCTGTGTCAGGTGTTGTCAGGTGTGTCAGGTGCTGTGTCAGGTGTTGTCAGGTGTTGTCAGGTGTTGTCAGGTGCTGTCAGGTGTTGTCAGGTGTCAGGGTTGTCAGGTGTCAGGTGTTGTCAGGTGCTGTCAGGTGCAGGTGTCAGGTGCTGTCAGGTGCTGTCAGGTGTTGTCAGGTGCTGTCAGGTGTTGTCAGGTGTTGTCAGGTCTGTCAGGTGCAGAGTTAAACTCACATCACAAACTTTAAAAGATCCGAGGTGAAGCTCGTGCCTCCGGTCTGATCCCACCGGTCCTGGTCCTGGTCCTGGTCCAGATCCAGATCCCGGTCTTGGTCCTGGTCCTGGTCTTGGTCCCGGTGCTTTTGCTCTGTCCGCGCGCGAAGTCCGAGTCTCGGGGTCTGCAGGTCCAGGATGTTCCGCTGCAGAAAATCCAAAGTCAAAGTGTCCAGAGAATCACGCGGGTCCGAGCTGTGTCCTCTGTCCTCTGTCCTCTGTCCTCTGTCCTCTGTCCTCTGTCCTGTCCTGTCTCTCTCTGTCCTCGGTCCTGTCTCCTCTGTCCTCGGTCCTCTGTCTCTCCCTGTCTCCTGTCTCCTCTGTGTGCGCGTGGGTCTGGACTCTTTCACGCTCCGCTCAGTCTGCGCGTGCTCCCTCTCTCTCTCCTCCCTCTGTCTGCTGTACCATGTCCCTCATGTCTCTCATGTCTCTCATGTCTCTCATGTCCCTCAGGTCTCATGTCTCTTGTCTCTCATGTCTCTTGTGTCTCTCGTGCGCGTTTTGCCTCGTCACGGTCGGTGTCATGTGCGCGCGCTCTCACGTTTCACACGCGCACGCCGCTGGTGCGCGGTGCACGGGGCTGGGATTCCCGGGCTTTTGTCTGTCCCCCCCGTGTCCCCCCACCCCCCCTCACCCCCCGCGGGGTCCGGCTCCACAGAGACACGGTCACGCACGATCACGTCCCGCGGTCACGTCCCGCGGTCACGGCGGCGGCGCGCGCACAGGAGGATGAGGTTTCAGCTCCGGGAAAAACTAAAGAGAAAAAAACACCAAAAACCCGCTGAGACACAGAAGGACACAGAAGGACACAGAAGGACACAGAGGGACACTTGGAGACACTTTGACGCACAGAGACGCGCAGAGGGACACGCGGGACACTTTGACGCGCGGGTCTGAGGCGGAGCGGGGGCGCGGCGCCACCTGCCGGACACACGAGGAACAGCGCTGAATCCAAACACTTGAACTGAAACTGAAACATGAAACTGAAACATGACACGTGACACGTGACTGGAGAGTTTGTTTTGTTCACATTAAAGTGAAACAGATCGAGCTCCAAAAAAATCTCCCGAAATGTGACTCAAGTCTCACGAGTCTCACGAGTCTCACGAGTCTCACGAGTCTCACGAGTCTCACGAGTCTCTACAGCAGGAGAGTCAAACTCATCTTGTTCTGGGGGTCGAGTCCAACTGACTTTGATCCAAAGTGTCTGGATCAGAAAACTCATGTCATAAATACTCCAAAAACAGCAAGAAGTTCAAATATTTGTGCAGAGAAACACAAATCTGTTTGAATTGATGAACTCTTTCTTTTTTCTTTTTTTTTTTTGCAATATTTTATTTTTGCATTTTGTTTGAGTTATACACAACAAAAAACATAGTTGAACAACAAAAACCCCACACCCTCCCCGCTCCCCCACAGGAAAAAAAAAAAAAAAAAAAAAAGGGAAGATGCTTCACACAGTCACACGTTTCAACAGTTCACACAGACACACAGACACACAGACACACAGACACAGACACACAGACACACAGACACACAGACACACAGACACACAGACGTCAGTGGAGGCGACATTCACATAATCCACGTCAGGACATTACACATGTTCTAACAAACGTGTTGTCAGCTTTTCTGAGGCTAAAAGTGTCTTTTCCAAAGACACAGTTGTTCATTTCCGTCTTGTAATGGGGGTCAGACTTCCAGGTGACTGCAGTGCATTTTCTTGCCACTGCCAATGAAATTTCTAAAAATTCTATTTTGTATTTATTTATTGATTCAATTTTCTCAAAATGTCCAAGTAGGAAAAATTCAGGATCAAGAGGTATTGAAGTTTTTGTGATTGAGGAAAAGGCTCAGCAAAAGTCAAACCAAAGACTTTTTCCTTTGACACATGTTCAGGTACAAGGCAAAAATGAGCCCAGTTCTACAGAACATCGGAAACATTGATCAGAAAAACATCGGAAACATTGATCAGAAAAATCTTTTTTTGTCTTATGATTTTTTTCTGGGGTTAGATAAAACTGATGAAGGAAATGATAATGTATAAGTTTATATGGAGCGTTGGTGGTGGCAGATAAACTCTCGACATAAATTCGACCAGATTTTATCTTCAACTGTGGTGTTTAAGTCTGACTCCCACCTCCTCAGATCAATACAAGGCTGGTTTAGGACATTCATTTATCAACAAAGTTTACATCTTAGAAATAAATGTATAAGGTCGATCATCGTGTAACAACCTTTCAAATGCTGTAAGTTTGGGCAATAATATAGTACGGCCCAGTTTATTAGTAATAAAACGATCGTAGTTGCAGGTAACAAAAGAATGTATTATTTGGTAAGATGTATTTTTCTTTTAGTTTTTCAAAGGACATTAATAATCCTTTTTCAAAACAGTCCTCCAATATATGAAGACCATTTTGGTGCCACAATTCCAAGATCTTGTTGTTTCCAGCCAATGGGATCAGATTGTTTTGTCTCAGTGGTGATTTTGGCCAACAGTCTTGTGTCGTTCCATAACTTTAGAAGGTGGAGGAGAACAGGATTGTCAGTCTTTTTTGACACTTTGGAATTATATTTGTAAACAAAATCATGAAAAGCATCTCTTTTCTCAGAGAATGAAATGCAATATGAACCCAGGATGGAGACGCCTCCCGTCAAACACAGAGAAGATAAATCACATCTGGGCTGTGAGGCAGTATTTTTTAAAACTGGGTAATTGAAGTCCTCCTGACTCATAGTTCCATGTCAATATTTCTAAAGACCTTCTTGCCACTTTCCCATTCCAAATGAAGCGCCTCACAGTTTTGTCAAGTGCTTTAAAGAATGTTTGTGGTTGAGCTACTGGAAGTGACTGAAACAGATCCTGCAGCCTTGGCTAAATGTTCATTTTAATGCAGTTAATCCTCCCAGTCAGAGTGAGAGGAAGATTGGCCCATTTATGCAGGTTTTCTTCAATCCTTTTCACCAGCGCAGCAGAATTGAACTTAAACAGATTTTTTAACTTGCCATCCAAATTTATACCAAGATATTGTAACGCAAAATGTTTTAGGGCTTGGGTCAGACTACGGCCACAAAAGCAGCATCAGAAGAAATGTTCTTTGAGGAGCCTGAGTGTGAATGAAGACACGTAACACATGGATATGAAGTTGGGTGGAGTTTATTGAAAATAAATTGACAGAACAACAATAACAAAAAAATTAATAAAAAAACGAAAACAGTCCAGTTATTTAGTGTTTTGATTTAGGCTAATCTAAGTTCAGGTTGGGTAAACTCGCCATCATGCATTTCCTTGTTGAGTTGAGTGTTTCTGCAGAGCTGGAGTTGAATCAGTCCATTGAAAAAAACCTGACCTATAAAGGCCAGAAAACACAAATGAATATCATTTAAATAAAACATTAACAAGTCTTAAATAACCAAAAATAAATTAAATGTATGCATAACCATGCAAGCATAAATGAATCAATACATTCATAGTATTAATTCAAGAATACACATTAATAACACAATAAATTAAATGTAGTCATTTACCAATGACCCAACAATTCAAAAGGATTAACAATTAATTACAATATTCAATAAGTAATTAAATTTATCATTAAATTATTAAATTAAATGATTAATTAAGCTGGTTAATAAATCAAGTAAATTCAAATAAGTTTATCCCAATTAAGTTAGTTATTATATTAATAAGTAAAATAAATTCAATAAGTGATCATAATAAAGTTAATAAATTAAATTCACTAAGTGATCAAAATTAAGTTAAAGTAATTTCACTGAGTGATCAAAATTAAGTGCACTTAAATCAACAGTTATCAATGCCCAAGCAGAGGCCGATAGACTCAAATATTGCGCAATATGTTCAAAATAAAGTGCGTGGCTACGCACAAATTCAATTGATGAACTCCACCGGAGTTTTAATGAACAGGGAAAAACAAGCTAAAACTGCACAAATTAATCAAAGGCACGAAAAACAAAGTTAGCGACTATATTAATAATTTTGTTACCTTCGGTTCGGTTTTCATAATAATGCATAAGGAAAAACGGGTACCTTCGAATTTCCCGTTGCGATTTCCTCTCCATACACGGCCAGGTGAGTATAACCTATATGGCGGCTCTATGAGGATTGGAGACGTGGGATTAGCGGCATTATTGAACGGGGTTATTGAATCGGCAGCATTTTAATGGTAAGGCAAAACACTCACCCAATTGTGGATGTTAAAGGATTCCTGGTTTAAAAGTTTACTGCAATAGTTTGCCGACGCCCAGACCAGCCACAGCCACAGCGGAGCGGAGGAGGAGGAAGTGACACGTGACCCCGCAACTTAAAGTGGGGAGATCGGGGTGAAGCGGAAATGACCCGCAACAATAAGAGTCTCAAATGCGGGTTATAATATGTTATCCCTGTTGGAGTCCGTTTGAATGAGACGCCTCCACACTGAGAAGAATTGAATTTTGTTAATGGAATAATGTCGCTTTTCTCATAGTTGATCTTATATCCAGACACAGAGCCGTATGGACTCAGTAAGTTTTACAGTCTAATAAGGGATGGAGAAGGATCTGATATATACAGGATTACATCATCAGCCAATAGATTGATTTTATGAGCCGCGTCACCAACATAAAGCCTTTTATATTTGGTCGTGTCTAATCGCCTCTGCCAACGGCTCAACAGCCAAATCAAAAAGCCCAGGAGACAGTGGATCAGCCCTGACGACTTGACCTGTTTAGTGGGAACGACGCAGACATCAGCCCGTTAGCAGTTGTCCCTCGCCTTTGGTTTATAGTACAGAGTTCTCACCCAGTCAGGAAAATGTTTTCCAAATCCAAATTTTGTCAAAACGTTGAATAAATCAGGCCATTCTAGCCTGTCAAAGCTTCTCTGCGTCCAGCGCCGCCGCTGCAGTAGGATCAGACCTGGTTTTTACCAGATGAATTATGTTAAAAAACCTGCTTAAATTATTTGTGGATATTCGCTTCTGAACAAAGCCACACTGGTCTGGATTCATTATTTTTGGTCGTACTTGACTGAGTCTGTTTGAAATCAGTTTGTCGTCTGTCTTCAGTGATGATATTGGCCTAAAAGAGGCACATTTCAGTGGGTCTTTGTTTTTCTTATGTATTACTGTGATTGTAGCTGTTGTAAAGGACTACAGGAGTGTATGTGTTTTTGACACTAAATTTGTCACATCCAAACTCAATGGAACAAGCAGGTCCTTAAATTCTTTATCAAATTCAGGTGGGACCATCGTCTCCTGGTGTTTGACTGAAGTGAACTCAAGGCTTTAGTCATTTCTGTTTTTGTAAAAGGGAGATTCAGACTCTGTCCTCGTCACTAATCTCAGCTCAATTAACTGTGGACAAGAAGTTGTCAATATGAAGTTCTGATTGATACAGATTTGAATAAAGTTTTTTAAACATATGGTTTGTCTCAGTTGGGTTATAAGAGATGATTCCTGCTTCATTTTGAACAGCATTGATGGTCCTACGACTTTCCTCTGCTTTTCGCTGCCATGACAACATTTGATGTGTTTTTTCTCTCCTAATTCATAAAACTTTTGCTTTGATCTCAAATATCCTTTTGGGCCTGTATGTGTTCGATGTTTTATACTGAATCTTTTTCTGAACTAAAGATTGACAAGTGTCATTAGAGCCACTTCTTTGGAAATCTTTTTCCAAGTTTGTAATTTCCCGCTCTGTCTTTTCAATATCTGCTGTGAATTTCTTTTTCAGACCCTCAGTATAAGAGATGATTTGTTCCCTTATTGAAGCTTTCAATGCGTCTCAGAAAATAAAACAAGTGGGAGAAGAAGCACTGTTCGTTTCACAAAACAACTTTATATGAGCTCTTATAAAGGAGCAGAAGTCAGATCTCTGGAGCAGCAGGATTGAGACGTCATCTACAGGGTCGTTTAGGTTTGTCAGGAAAACAAAATGGACAAAGTTAATGGTGAATGGTCAGACAATGTTCTGGGTAAATATTCTGTATCAATACTGTATGAAGCAGCTGGGAAGACAATAAAAATAGATCAGTTCTGGTGTGAGTTATGAAGGCTTGAAGAAAATGAACAGTCTCCAGTCTGAGGCATTTGCTGCCAAATATCTATGAAGTTTAGATCTTTCATAAAAATCAAAGTCATTTTGGCGGCTTTTGATTTGGAGATTAACAGTAGAGGATTTGTCCAATGATCTAAACAAAAGTTGAAGTCCCCGACTAATAAACTGTTCTTCCCTTCAGCGACTTTAAGGAGCCTGTCTCGCATAAACACTTCGTCATCATAATTAGGGGCATATAAATTTAGAAGTGACCACTGTTCTGAAAAAAATCTACAGTTTGCAAAAACATATCGTCCTGAGGATCAATGAAAGTATCAATCACTTCCAGAGGTGTATTTTTTCACAGGAATGGCCACTCCCCTGGTCTTTGAGTTAAAAGGTGATGACATCACCAGGCCAATCCACTCCCTTTTCAGTTTCTTCTGTTCTTTACTGGTGAGTTTCTTGAATGAAAACAATATCTACATCTGTAATCTGTAATCTGTAGGGGATTACATTTTAAAAGTAAACTTCCCGACGCTGCTGATGAGGAACAGCGTCAGAACACGGGGAAGATAATTCTCCCTCTTCAGTAGAAGCAGTTTATTCTGTCATTTTGCAGCACCACAAAAAACCACAAAAAACCACAGACTCCAGCCCCGTGGATCATGAGCCAAAAGGTTTAGGCTGAAGTCAAACTTCCTCCAACGTCAAACTGTTCAACAACCACAGAATCTCCCAGGACCAAACCACCAGCTGCAGAAAACTAGATCTAAACCAGGTCTAAACCAGGACTAAACCAGGTCTAAACCAGGTCTAAACCAGGTCTAAACCAGGACTAAACCAGGTCTAAACCAGGACTAAACCAGGACTAAACCAGGACTAAACCAGGTCTAAACCAGGTCTAAAACCAGGACTAAACCAGGTCTAAACCAGGACTAAATCAGGTCTAAACCAGGACTAAACCAGGTCTAAACCAGGACTAAACCAGGTCTAAACCAGGACTAAACCAGGTCTAAACCAGGTCTAAACCAGGACTAAACCAGGACTAAACCAGGACTAAACCAGGTCTAAACCAGGTCTAAACCAGGACTAAACCAGGTCTAAACCAGGTCTAAACCAGGTCTAAACCAGGACTAAACCAGGTCTAAACCAGGACTAAAACCAGGACTAAACCAGGTCTAAACCAGGACTAAACCAGGACTAAACCAGGACTAAAACCAGGTCTAAACCAGGTCTAAACCAGGACTAAACCAGGTCTAAACCAGGTCTAAACCAGGTCTAAACCAGGACTAAACCAGGACTAAACCAGGTCTAAACCAGGTCTAAACCAGGACTAAACCAGGTCTAAACCAGGTCTAAACCAGGACTAAACCAGGTCTAAACCAGGTCTAAACCAGGACTAAACCATCAGCTGCAGAAAACTGGAATAAATGAACAAAACTAAATGTTTGTTTGGACAGAGGCTCAGAGTCAGAAACCCTCTGCTGGACGACACAGACGGAGAAACATCTACAGGTCTCTGCATCATAAACCAGGACTAAACCAGGACTAAACCAGGTCTAAACCAGGACTAAACCAGAACTAAACCAGGTCTAAACTAGATCTAAACCAGGTCTAAATCAGGTCTAAACCAGGTCTAAATCAGGTCTAAACCAGGTCTAAACCAGGTCTAAAACCAGGTCTAAACTAGATCTAAACCAGGTCTAAACCAGGTCTAAACCAGGTCTAAACCAGGACTAAACCAGGTCTAAACCAGGTCTAAACCAGGACTAAACCAGGTCTAAACCAGGTCTAAACCAGGACTAAACCAGGTCTAAATCCTGCTGTGTGGACGTGTTTCTTCGTCTTTTATCAATAATATTTTTAATTTGGTTAAATAAAGTTTGGACTTTTTATTTTCTTTTATCAGACAAAACTTCTTATGTGAAGATTTCCTCGTCTTTGTTTCTCTACAGCAAATCAAGTAATCCAAAGTAATCAGATTACATTACTCACTTTAAGTCATTTAATGGATTCTGTTACAAACTACATTTTGGAGTGTGTAATCTGTAATCTGTAGGGGATTACATTTTAAAAGTAAACTTCCCAACACTGTTTGAATTTCTGTCTCCTACCGTCTGTGTGTTTTTGTCGTTGTATTTATGAGGACCTAATGGAAAACGTGATGTCGACTCTCAATCGTCTTATCCCCCAAATAAATCAATTCAAAAATTCTAATAATGATAATCAAAACTTTCCAACACGTGAGTTTTATCTAAAATTTAACCTTTAAATAAAACACAAAAGCCTCGACTGAATTCTCATTTTATATTTTTTGAAATTTTTATTTTTCAGAATAAAATAAAATAAAACCAGAGACGACACAAAGACCGAAACTTTGACCAGAAATATTTTATATAAAATTTGACAGTGGATACAGCGTTTATGTGTATAAAAAATACAGACAATTAAAGGAAAATAAATGAATCTTTTCTATTATTCGAGCCGATTTTCAAGTTCAAGCTGATGAAATGTAAAAGGCACACGGCACACGGCACACGACACACAGGGGCCCACACACACCGGCAAAACCCTCACAGAGAATCAGAGAAAAATATTAAAACTGTTTTTCAAAATCTACTTCGTTTACGCCAAAAATTCACACAAAAAAACAAAAACAAAACCTCTAAAGTCGTTTCAGCACCGTTTGAATTGGCACAAACTAAATATTTTGATTTAAAAATATTTTCAACTCAGGAATTTTTAAAAACAAAAGTTAAAAATAAAATAAAAAAAAAAAAAAAAAAAAGAAGGTAAATATTTTTCCAAAAATTAAAAGAATAAATTTTTTTTTATTTGGAAAGTTTTGAGAGACCAAAAAGTTCAGACGAGACAAAACAAACGAGACTAAACCTGGAACTAAACCAGGACCAGGACCAGAACAAAGTCTGGATCAGGTCTAGACTAGGACTAGAACCAAGACTACAACTAGGACCAGACCAAAACCAGGACTAGACCAGGACTACATCAGGACCAAAACCAAGTATAGATCAGGTCTAAATTAGGACTAGACCAGAACTAGACCAGGAGTAGAAACGGGACCAAACCAAGTCTGCATCAGGTCCAGAAGAGTGCAGCTGTAGTCCAGATGAAGTCCAGATGAAGTCCTGGTCGAGTCCTGGTCCAGTCCTTGTTCAGTCCGTGAGTTTTGTTGTAGAAACGTGTTTAATATTTTAGAGTTTGAATCGGTAAAGTTCCTAAAATCGGTG